TGTGAGTAATGGTCCAGGAGCAAGTCTTATAAGACACTACTTCGATGATCTCCCGGACGTCAATCTGAGCGAGATGAGAATGGCTCTCCAGCACCTTAAAAACGGCAAATATCCAGGCGACGATGGAATTACAGCGGAGCTTCTGAAAGCGGGTGGAAAACGGGTCCTTCAGAAGCTCTTTAATTCCGTCCCAGGCACTACACCGGAGGCGTGGAGCAAAATTGCGGTGGTCTTGTTCTTCAAGAAAGGCGATGACGCTCTCTTGAAGAACTACAGACTGATTTCCCTTCTGAGCCGCGTCTACGTGCTGTTTTCGAGAGTCATTACGAATCCTCTTGCACCCAGGCTCGACGACTTCCAGCCTCCCGAACAAACTGGTTCCCGAAAAGGCTTCAGAACCATAGACCACATACCCTTCGACAAATTATACGGAAGACCGAAGAGCCTTGCGTATGTGAAATATGAGAAAGCCTTTGATTCCGTCGAAATTTGGGCGGTGCTACAGTCCCTTCAGCGGTGCCAAGTAGACTATCGGTATATCGAAGTGCTGAAGAGTTTGTTCAGTAGAGCTACGATGGCTATCCGATTACAGAACCGGAGTTTGAAACCTATCCAATTGCAGCGAAGTGTAAGACATCATATCTCTGAAACTCTTCATCAGTGCATTGGAAGACGTTTTCAAGCTATTGAACTTGAAAGGATATGGAACCAAACAAACAAAAAAAAACTGCCTTGAGTGGTAGCTATGGCAAATATCCCCTCAAGGAGGTCTTGGAATCTATTGGGGACGCCTACATTCAGCAGGACATTTGATAAGCTGTAAATGATCCCGTGGGTGTCGTATAAGACGACGAAGAGAAATGAAAAAGTTTTATTAGCAATTTGGTTGACATTTGTGCCTAGGTCTCACAAAAACGGAAAGAGGAAACCCATTTTTCTGTGTTCGCTAATGACCGACATACTGAGCCAACTGGCCGGCGACAGTACGCTTCGTGTGGAATGCCAACTGGCTTTCTATACAAAATACTCGTAGGTGTATTGATTATTAAAAATAAAATTGTACTTACCTGTACTTAAAGTTTAAGTTCTTTTTCTTATTTAAGTGAAAATTTCTTTACAATTGTGATTTGAAACTCGATGAAAGGAAAAAGCGACAGTAAAAAGAGACAAACATATACATCTATATTGTTATTAAGTGGCGAAGCTTGCGAAGTCACTTATTGATTTCACGATGTCTGTCCGTCTGTCCCACGATTATCTCTAGAACGGTTTTGAATTTTCAAATTCTGTTTTCAGCAATCGATTACTGATCACCCAGGCATCTGAACCTCCTATTTTGAAACTGATTGCTCAACGGCAACCGTTAGAAACCGCTACAAAGCTGATTGCTTCGCCACTTTGCTATGCTGTTAGCTTTATTATTGATTGTAACTTCAATACATGGTAGGGCCACTAAGTAACTTCTTTGTTTTTTACGTGGTAGAGCCATGCTGCAGCTATAGTATGGTTGTAACGCGAATGGGTCGGCTCGACCGGGTAAGGACCACGCTCTCGCAGAATACAACGTGAAATAGCAGCTTAATGCTGCTGCGTTTCATATGGTAAGTGTAGAGAATAGGAGGCTCTTTTAACTGGAAACGAGGCATTCTATCTTAATTTTCAGGAATTACAACGCATCTACATTTTTAATCGAGAATACATGTACATATCTATGGGTCCCAGCGTCCACATACCTGCAGGTGGACTGTGTGATCTCGTCCCATTTATTTGTGGACTAGAACTACATTAACTATTGCCTAATTGTAGGCGTGGTAATGGTCGAACCGCACGGCTGATACGGCACTTGAGTCGTAGAAATCGTTAACCCATATCGATACGTATAATCAAGTACATTTTTAACAGGCTTTTTATTAGCTTCGCGTGTATCATCTATCTTTCTATGTATCGGAATCTTTTAATGTAATTTTCACCAACTTGTAGACGGCCAATTGACTTAAAAAAATTGGCACTCGTATTCAGGACCGATGACAAAAGTATTTCCACTAGGATCATCACAACTCATGATCAATGCGTGTTGTTTGAGTTTTGTTAAACTATAATATTATTAAACTTTATTTGCGAGCGTAAGCAACATTAGGTTTTATTTATATTTAAAAACTTTATTGTACTAACCATAAAGGTTGCAAAGGGCGGAATTAATGCCTGTTAGCATTCTCTGCCAGTCAACCCATGACGTGATGAAAAACTAGTGGCAGGTGACTTAAATAACTACGTATAATAAACATAAATAAATGTAACACATATTGAAATAAGATGATATATTATAATGATTTACCACGTGCTCGGCGGTGAAGTAAAACATCGTGAGGAAACCTGCATGTTTAAGAAATAAGAAGAAAATATTTCAAAGAAATGTGAGGTCCACCAACACGCATTGGGGCAGCGCGGCGAAAATTTCCGTGCCCTAAAACCCTCTGCCTGTGCCCAGTAGTGGGACATATATAGCCTGTAACTTTAACCAAGTTTGGCAGGTGGATTGGCCACTGGTGCAGACGTCTCGCACCAATAACGCTGTTCTCTGTCGCCGGTCTGAATATTTTACGTCTATCATAAACAATATGCTTGCAACGCTATCTACTGGAAGCAATAAAATCTTTTTCACTTTTTTTTTAATAGAAGAGCGGCAAACGAGAATGAGGATCACCTGATGGTAAATGTCGACCGCTACCCATGAACAAAGGCAACGCCAAGGAATTGTAGATGCATTGCCGGCCTTTTATAAAAAATAGTAAGATACCTCTTGGACCGTGTAGTGTCGGTGACAGAATATCCACTGCCCCATGTCGTAAGAGATAACAGAGCACATCAGGAGATGGTTAGCAACTTCTTCCTAATAACGACTAAAAATAAAAACTGCTGTTAACAACCCGCTTGGCAAGCGTGGCGCCTGTGGCAAATATCCGACTATGAGGCAATCTATGGAGGAGGCCTATGTTCAACAGTGGACTATTTATATTCTGTAATGGATGGATGTATAGAAGATAATTTACCAGGAGCACATGACCCACTGAGAGGTGAACTATGGCAAATATCCCCCTATGAGGTAGTCTATGGGGGAGACCTATGTTCAGCAGTGGACTATTATATGCTGTAATGGATGGATGTATTGAAGATAATTTACCAGGAGCACATGACCCACTGAGAGGTGAATTATGGCAAATATCCTCCCTATGAGGCAGTCTATGGGGGAGGCCTATGTTCAGCAGTGAACTATTATATGCTGTAATGGATGAATGTATAGAAGATAATTTACCAGGAGCACATGACCCACTGAGAGGTGAATTATGGCAAATATCCTCCCTATGAGGCAGTCTATGGGGGAGGCCTATGTTCAGCAGTGAACTATTTATATGCTGTAATGGATGAATGTATAGAAGATAATTTACCAGGAGCACATGACCCACTGAGAGGTGTACTATGGCCAATATCCCCATATGAGGCATTAATTGGGGGTGGCCTATAATCAGCAGTGGACTATTATAGGCTGTAAAGGTAACGTTAAGATACCTCTTACGACACTAACGGGATGAAAGCTTCTAGCCATAGTCCTAGGTATAGGAGCTTCGTAAATATAGGGCGTTTGTTTATTATTAATAATCCGGTTTTACGGGTAATTGATGCATCAACATTAGATCTGGCGTAATTCATGCAAATTTTATCAGCCAACCGGTTATACGATACCTCGTTAACAGATGTGTGTTTACCTGCTCGATTGCCTACTTGTCTGTTTTCGTACTGATCGGCAAGTGCTGGGAGAATAATTTTCGATTTTAAACTCTATTGCGTTAGTTTAAAGTTAAAAATCGTAAAAACTTTAAAATAAATTTGCACTATAATACTAGCAAAGATTACTTAAACTATGTTGAAGTGATGTTTACTTCACTCTTAAGGCATGTTGTTTAAAATATTTAAAACTTACGCAAGAAACTTGCGTACTGTGTAATTTTCCTTCTAATTCGACTCAAGCCGTACAATTGATAAAATTAAGAAGTCTCTAGCAAAGCTGCACTTCCATTTCTTAAGAATATCTAATGTTACAATATTTAGCTAAATTATTTCTTATATGTACACAAATTTAACTTAAACTAATTTAACTTATTTAATTTGTTTTTTTCTTATTCCCGACGTTTCAGGTGCTGTACGTTACCCATGGTCACGAGGGAATCTGAGGTGTTTAACATCTCTATGCCATAGTTTATCCGGGCTACCTTTAGCTTTGGAATATTAATGATTTATTTTAAATTTTGGTGCATTTTGGTAATATTCAAAAGCTGAATGTAGCCGGGGCTAACTACGACATCGGGATGTCAAACACTTCACTCCTAACCGTGACCGAGACGAGTGCTGTAAAGCAACTGAAACGTTGGAAATTAAAAATAAGTTAAATCAACGCAATAAAATCAGTAAGACTAGCTTTATTCAATATTAAACTTTCCTATTTATATAGTTTTCAAAATAACACCACTCTAAGTGTATCCTTGGGGTAGCAATGAGTATTCTATCAAGTAAGAAATTAGATTGTGCGAGAAAAAAAAACACTAAAGCCCACGACCAAAATGAGTCATTGTGGTAGACAGATACCTATGTCGAACCAAGTATAATAAACTGGATGCCAAATTAGTTGTCACCTCGAATACTGAACGCCTCCTTGATATTCACCAGACTTATGCCCAAATACTCAAACGCTGCTCAATTTTAAGATGAAGTCTCATGCTGTCTCTATCACTTTAAGTCAAAGTGACTGCGACACCACGAGACTAAACGACATCTTAAAATTGAGTGGCTTTTGAGTATTTCGTCATTAGTTGATCAAATGTTGATACGCAACATTATTCTTAACTATAATTCTATGTTAAAATTGTAAAATTACAGGCCTAATCATAAATATAACTATATTATAATTAGTTGTCAATTATTAATATTAATTTTTTTTGTTGCAGATGAACAGATTGGAACCCAAGCGCGTACCTTGGTGCACCCTGAGCAAGATATATCATTACTTTCATCTGGTGATACCAACTCAAACCTTAACCAAGCGAAACATTTTTCAAACATTAATCTAAACCCACTGGATATTCAAACTAATACCGATAATAATGTAATCCTGAAGTCACGCACTCCGACAATGCCAAAACCTTCCGTGAATTCTGAAGATGATTTTGACGTTAACGAATATTTTGCTAGGCTTCAGGGCACGAGATACGTAAGTGCACCTCTCAATAGCGCTATTAAAGAGGAACAGAAAACAAATCTGGGAACAGAAGAAGAGAATTTAGAAGAAATAAATCTAAATGAGCCAGATAAAACTGTTGTTGATGATTTTCAACAAAGTATAACGGCTGATATTGCTCAGAATTTCTCACAACTACCCACCGTTTTGCCGCAAGTTGCGAGCGCTGTATTTAGCTCATTCTCTAACATGCTAAGCATGAAGAGTCGGGAGCAAACACCTGAGGTTGGGAAAACACAACCTGATTACCAGAATACAGTTAAGCAGTCTGAAGATATAGGAGTGCCTCTGATGAGTGTTCCTAACATTGACAAAGATGTGGCACCACCGCCTAAGGAGCCTCCTATAATTGGTAAGTTACTTTTGGTTTAATTTGCGAAGCAGGTAAAGCTACTGCATTATTAATAAATAAATGAAATAGAATTATAAATAACATAACCATGTGTCAATGTATGCCTAAGTCAGGGTTTCCCAACCTTTTTTTGACCAGGGACCACTTTGATTTCTTTGTTATTAGCAGGGACCTTAAGGTGAAAGAAAAAATTATGTTAATCTAACAATACATTTTAATCACATCTTTTAATATAAACTAAAAAGAAGTATTCATGCATAGTATTATTTGTGTATTTATTGTAAAAGAAATCATCATCTTTACCAAATCATGTTTGGTAAAAAATTGCGATTTGATTACGGCGCGACGTGTGGTGAAAAGAATGTGTTATTTAAAACTTTTTTTTAAATTTTTTCCGCCGGAAGGTATGTGTTTAATAGATATAATTAAAAATTGTTTAAAATGTGAACAAATCTGTGGAAAAAAGACAATATACTCTCGCCGGAGAAGGTTATGCGTTTCTGCCATTTGATACATACCACGTATGCCTTCTCCTTAAATTAATACAATTTGTTAAGAATTGATTGCATATTATACATAGTTAGTATTCTAATAAAATAGTCGTTTGATTAACATTAACGTTTTGTGTATCATGGTCTGCTGCATGCCGCACACCACGTTAGAAAAAAGAAAAGGAAATGACAATAAAAAGATAAAAATGAAATGAATATTAGAAACTAATGACAAAAAATAATCTTTACTCTAATCACAATCTATAATAGGTATAATGACAATAATGTAATGAATTAGTATAATGACAATAATATAATAGAACAATATAAAAAAATAAAATAAATTAATCTTATAGACATACGATTACTTTATTTTATTTTTTTCACAAACAAAGTAATATAAAGATAGTAAGAGGAAATAAACACACAACGTAATCTTAATTTTAAACAAAACCTTTATTATAATAAAAATAGTATGATAAAATAATATAATGACAATGAAAATAAGAAAATAATATAAAACCAATGGCAATCTTTATTCTAGGCACAGAAATAATAGAGTATAATGTCACAATAAAGCAAAGAAAATTAAAAAAAGGGAAATCTTTGATCATAATCTTTAAAACAAACGAAATGGTATATTTACATTAAAATAAATAAAATAGTATAGAATAAAACAAAGTAACCTTAATTCTTAACACAATCAATATAATAATGACAAAGGTATATTAAAATAATATTACAATTAAATTAAGAAAATGAATAAAATAATATAATGACAGAGCAGAGAAATTTAAAAACAATGGGAAATCTTTGTTTCGAATACAAATAAAACGAAGACGAATCTTAAAACTAAAAAAAAAACAATCAAAATAATATAAGACAATACTTATTAATTGTAAATAATAGTTAAATAGATAAATAAAAAAACAGTACAAGCTGAGAAATAATTTTGCTTAATTACTAGCTATTTCTATTACTATTTGCGGGTGTACAATTTTTGTTGAAATTCTTAAGGCTTTTAACAATTTTATTAATAAACTGAATACGGGATTCCTTCATTCAGTTTATCTATAATTCGTATCTATAATTTCGTTACCCCGTGAGTTTGTTTTTGCGCTCGCCCAAATTGGGTGCCACGCATTGAGATCTTCCCCACTATGTTATGAGAATCGCCTAGGTCTTTGAGAAAACGTCTAGCTTATCGAGCGCACCCAGCTCGTCGTTATTTGGCTCCACATATATGGACGAAATATAAATATTGCTATTACCAATCGTTAGTTCCTTAACAAATATTAGTTGTTATCCCCAATTTTGTAAATGTAGACGGAACAACACGCAATACAAACCTGCGTGGTTTTTCGCTGTGCCGCATAGCAATAATGTAACAATTTTTATCCAATAATAAATAAATAAAATAGTTGGATGTTGAATATTGCGATAGTCCCAAAATGGACCTGCATCCTGGCCTGCACCAGGATGCAGGTCCATTTTGGGATCCAGGATCCAGGCCTTAATCCTGTTGCCTGTGAAGAATTGGTACATCTCAATTCCAAGTGTTGATTTTACCTGTACTCCAGAACCAACGTGGAGAGAAGGAGGAAGAGATAAGGGTGATATCGTAATCACCGGCCATGAACGAAAGAAGAATCTCGTGTTGTGAATTCATGGATCTGTCGATGTTGCACTGTAAAATTTTTATTTTACGGTGTGAATCCATAGTCGACACGATCATTCATCTTCTCCCTCATGGCTCGCAGTCGTAGGCTGTTGTTCGAGTTGGCCGTGTGTTTTGTGTCAAACTTTGTGTTTGAAACGCGTTTTATGTGTATGGCAGTTAAAACATTTGGCGCTGTGGGCTCATCCTTGTTGGGACATTTGCTCACATCGTGTTCCGTGTTTGCATAATGTGAGCAGGGGTTTCCTTCGCAGTGCACCTTAATTTTGTGTGCCCGAACTGCAGGCACATACACACACGCTGATAGTCGACACTGATTCGACCCATGTCGAGGATTTCACTGTAAAGCTTTGATTCTATCAAGAATACCGCGTTGTACAGATATTAGCATTTCTATTGTTGCGTTTGAATCTCAATTTGAGGTTCTCACCGTCACCATTATTGGTGAGTTCTGTTGATTCTGAATTTTGACGACTGATGGAGTGAATTAGGTTATCGGCTGGAACATCCTTAGAGATGCCCTTTAGTATGACCATAGGTCTTAATTTACGCACTAGTTCAGCCTTGATCTGCACTTCTGCATCACTTTTCCCCTGTAGCCGCGTGAGGGTATCTTTAAGCTGAGTCTCAGTGTCAAACTCGGCACGCAACTTATTATTGGAAACCGGTTGAATTTTAGCCGGTGCGTAATTAGAGGCACGGTAGCTGATGTTCTTTTTGAACAATTCGACGGCATCCTGGCGAGATTTCATTTTTTAGTTCACTGGTAGGAGTGGCCGTGGATCTGAGGAGATTAAGAGCTCGCGTTGCAGTGCGAATCTCCTCACTAGCCAGACTGATAAGTCGCTTACTACCCGCGGTTGTGCTCTTTCTTTCATTTATCGTGGTACTGATGAAAGTGGTGAGTTTGTTTATAACCGTAACGCAAGAGTCTATGTCTTTTATCTCCTCGGCTGAGGCCGGGAGGACAGGGGACTCGCTCTGTGAAGGCGCCATATTCACATCACTTATTCAACACTTAAAGTTACTTTGATAGGTTTGCAATTTATGTAATCCTATATATTATAAATGATTTTTAAAAAAATCTCTAAATATTATTGCTATATATTTTATGTGGAAGGTACTTTTTTCACGTACCCGACAGTGTCTTCAGAACTTTTCTAGCACGTCTGGTTCCAGAGGTGAGCTGCTACGTGGTTTTTTGAAAAACCTCTATTTTTTTTGGGGATATGTAGCAAGAAATTTCAAATTTTTCGTAGGAAGATGTTGGACCATTGTAAACACAAAACGACGCTATAAAACTATATGTTATTGCAACAAATCGCGCCCCGGCCGCTATTAACTGATTTTGAGGTTGTCAGTATGGAAAAAACGGTTTTTCACTGAAAAAGTAAAAAATTTCATTGGGGTTGATTTCAATTGCATCACGGGATATATTTCGTTATTCCGCAACTTTTGACACATAATATACTTTATCCGATAACTTTATAACACTGCCTGATTTTAGATTACGGAGCGTCACGAATTCGTGAAGTTTTTTTTTTGTTCATATAAAACAATTGGGTAGGTAAAATATTTAAATTTTTCACGGACCATATTTAAACTCTTGCGGACCACTGGTTGGGAATCATTGGTAATCGGCCAGAAGAAAATGATATTTAAAAAGCTAAGTTACTCACCATATAATTTGTCCTAACTGTATTATACCGGGTTATTTTTCAAAGAGTAGCCAAATTTTAAACTTAAGTTCAAATATATAAATAATGATATACCGTTAAAACTTGAGTTATATGTACTACGTACTAGAGAAGCCATTCCGAACATTGACTATGTTCAACTGAACTGTAGTGCAATCCATACAAACTAAATATTGCGTAAATTGAAGATTTGTGAATTCCATAAAATAATTATTATTACATTTTATTTAGAAATATGTTTGTTTAGATTAAATTAAGATATTTTATATTAAATCCTTATATTCGTTTTATATTAATATCTTATTTTATATCAAATTAAAGTCTTCGCGCATGCGCGACTACTACTCCCGCGCATGCGCGAAGACATAGAGTAGGACACAATTTTTGTTTGGAATGGCTTCTCTAGTACGTAGTACATATAACTCAATGGTTAAAACAGTGTTTGAAAATACGAGTAAATAAGGTTTCTACTTTTATTTAAAATTATCCCAAATTGAATGTGATTTATGGGCAACAACGTTTTTGCCTACCGATTGACCCTTAAAAAAATGTGTGTGTGCGCAGTAAAATCATTTAAAATAATGCATTACCACGCATTTTTAATTAAAAAGATGAAAAGAACAGAATGTTTGAATTTTTGAAATTATGTTTTTTTTTCACCATTTGCCTAAGTTTATTACTTATTCTGAAACTTTTCTGTAAATTTGGCCGGTTATTTGACAAATAACCCTATATATGATGTAATATTATGATAATTTCTGTAGTATATTTTGAAACAATGGCACCAGGACAACCATTAAATGTACAGGTCCAAAATCTAATGTTTTTAAATTATTAATTTATTAACTATAAAAACCGAACGGTTTCGCCTCACGGCATTATCAGGGTATATAAGAGAGTTTTTACACTAGCATTACCTTATTGGGAGTTCAAATCTATCAGCCGAGGCTTTGCACTCGGGTGCTTTGCCCACAAGGTCACGCGGGCGCCATAACGTCTGCTACTCAGCAACGTTCCCACGATATTGCGATGGCGTCGCGACCTCTAAAACCTCACGTAATAGAGCCTTTATAATACTTAAGAGTTTTAGTTGTGACTCTGAATCATCGTGTGTTTCTTGAGGCTCTACAAGTC